TCTCTTCTTCCCAAGTTCACGTCGCTTAACCCTGTTTGCCTCAGTTTCCCCATCGGTGAAATGAGCTGGAGAAGGAAATGGCAAACCACTCCAGTATCTTTGCCAAGAAAACCCCAAATGGGGTCACAGCGAGTTGGACATGACCAAAATGATGGAACAGGAACAAAAACCTTAAATCACTTTATGAAAATATGAATTGCTATACTGCGAATCAGATATAATTAGTATATAAGAGAAATACAAAGTAGTATTCTAGATCAGAGGAGGGTTAGTAATAACTGACATTTATGTAAGTAAGATTGGACCTTACAACAACCCTGTGAGACAAGTACTAGAAGCATTATTATCCCCATTTTATAGAGGTGAAAACTGAGAGACGTTGAGAGGTTAAATGAATTGCCCAGGATCACACAACTAATATCTTGAGGTAGAATTTGAACCTGGGTCTTTCTTATGTCAAATTTAGCACTTTATCCACTGTGACATCTTGTGTTTGAGAAAGTCAACAAAAAAGTCTACACCATTAAGCTTTAAAGAGAAATTTGAGACTTAAGTAATTTCCCACTTCCCCTGGACTAACCTTTCCATATAAATGCCAATTTTAAGTTAACCCGATTCTATAAACCTCTGTGTCAGTTAAAATTCTAATCTTGGGCCTCACACCATGAATTATAAAGATCAGTTTTGTGGAGCTGTGTAATCAGTGGTGTTTAGGAAGCCAATTCTTTCTTTCTGTCCAAAAGATAAAAGTTGAGCTAACCTTGACTTTGAAGTATTGAAAATAATTACCAGGAGTGTCACTTTATTTGAAGATGCTCTTCGTGGGCACTTTAGCTGAGAGAGCTTATGAAGAAGATGATGGCCTGAAGTTAAATTCACAACTCCATGCCTCCCTTCATTACAACACTCTGACAGAATCCTCTGACACAGTGACATTTTTGCCTTGGCTGGAATTGATAATTATCTGCATGCATTTCCCATCAGGGTTTATTCTTTTCTGGTTGTATTTGGACTTTGAACATCCACTTAGAGAATCACACAAAGAGCTAATATGTGGACATACCTTGGAAGTGGGGCCACAGAAACCTTTTTATGGAAAGGGCTAGGGGCAAGGAATTCTGGGAGAAATGATACTGGTGAGCATTTCTGTCTATTATAATGATAATTTTCCTGTATCCTAGGACTCTAGAATTTGGAATAATAGTTTCATCTTCCTTTTACAAGGCTACCAATTAGAATTTCCTAAGAATAATAGAATCATAGAATAGAGAAGCGCAAATTGTTTTTTCAAAAGATAGAGGAAGCAATGAGGAAATTTGCTTTTCTGAGCTTGATTCTCATCTGTTAAAGAGGAACTGCTAGCTTAAGTAGATATTATAGGAACCTTGAGGAAAGTGACCATTACATTGTGGAGTTTGTGACAGAGAAGGAGAAGAAAACTAAATGTAGTCTGAATTGTATCCTCTATTTTGAAAGAGCAGATTTCTAATGGTTCAGAAAAAGGATAGATATGATCTCATGGACCACAATCCTCCAGAAGCCAGCACAAGTGGATGTGAAGTCTCAAGAGTGAAATTTTGGAGGTACAGGGAAGAAACAATTTTTGATGAAAAGGGGGAGAAGCCTAAAGAAACCAATGCAGCAGTACAAGGAACTTACTGACCAACTTAGATTTTAAAAACATATATCTAAAACATAGAAACAAAGACAGGTAACAATGGATGAAGGCATGCTATGGCCTTACAATAGTAGTGTCAGGAGTGCTACTTCTCAGGATGAACTGAGGCTGGAAAGAAAAACTAAGGACAAAAAAACAGAGTTTGTTCTTTTTTAAGGTATTTGAAGAAAAGAGGACCAAAGAAAATATGAGTGTTGGTCAGGATAGATTGAATAATGATAATTGATGGTTGGATAGAAGGCAGTTTTTCAACTTCTTTTTTTATTTTTTCCTTTCTTCTTTTTTTTTTTTGCTCCTGTTTTCTCTTCCAAGGAGAATGATCTTAGGACTAGAAAGGACAAAATAAAATTAGTGATTTGAAATCCAAGAGAGGTAGAGAGAGGCTGTAGAGAGCCTGCCCTTGAAGAATTCAGGTCATCAGGCTCAGGTGAGTTACATTCCTGATTACTAAAAGGACTGGCAGCTGTGATTGCTTAACCACCATCTTTGAGTGATGGAAAATGAAAGGCATAACAGGACTGGAGAAGGGGAAATACTGTCTCAATTTTCAAAAAAGAGAAGAGAGTCTAATTTTAAAACTATATACCAATGAGCTTGACTTTTGATTCTTGGCAAAATATTAGAATATGTCATCAGAGGAATGGTTAATGAGCCTCTAGAAGAGGAAGCTGTGCTAACCAAAAGCCAGCATGGTTTCAAGATAGGTCAGATAAGAATAACATAATTTCCTTTTTTTTTTTTTTTTTTTTTACAAGACAAACTAGACTGATAGGGCCAGTAACATATTAAGTCCTTCAAAGGTAAGAACATTATCTAGTTTGTCTTTGTATTTCTAATGCTTTGTATGTAATAATTATTTCTTTAACAAATATTTGTTGAATTATGTCGAATTCCTCCCCTTAGATATATTTGCCTAGACTTTAGTAAAATGTCTGATGAAGTCTCTTGTTCTCCTGTTATGGAAGCGATTCGGAAATGTGAGCCAAATGATAGCGCATTTAAGAGCCTACTGAACTGGTTGAATGGGTCTAGTGGTGAGGAACCTAGAAGCAATTTGATACTGATTATACATGTGAAATGCAAAACATATTTCCATTTTAGTCATGTTGCAAAAAAAAAACAGACTAAAAAACCCAAGAAAAATTTTTAAAAGTAAAAAAAAAAGTATTCTTCAATCTGCATTCAGAGATCATCAGTTCTCTCTCTGGAGGTGGATAGCATTTTTCGTCATGGTTCTTTTGGAATTGTCTTGGATCACTATATTGCTGAGAGTAGCTAAATCAGGAGTGGGAAACCTGTGGCTTTCTAGTTCCTTGAGTGCGGCTTTTTGAGTGAGTTCAAGTTTTATAGAACAAATCCTTTTATCAAGAGGATTTGTTCTGTGAAGTTTGGATTCTGCCAAAGGGCCTCCCTTGAGGATCTAGAAGGCCACATGTGGCCTCAAGGCTGAAGGTTCCCCATCCCTGGTCTAGTCCAACTTCCCCGATTTAAAGAATGAAAATCGTCTTGTCCCAACTAGTAGCTGTGGGTGGTACTAGATCGCCACAGAGGTCCCTCATCCCACTCTGAACCTTTGATTTGTTCTGTGAGGTTTGGATTCAGTCAAAGGGTCACGCTTGACGACCTAGAGGGCCTCATATGGCCTTGAGGCTGCAGGCCCATTACCCCTGGTGACTCACAGAGTAGGCGTTAATTGTTCATTGTCAGCTTGGAAGGAGGCCTGTGATCCAGAATCTTGGGAATCTTTTTGCTTAGCATTTTGATCAGTGACTTGTGACTTGGATAAAGGAATAGATGATGCAGAGCTGGAAGTGATGGCTAACATATTAGATGACAAGAGTCAAGATCCAAAAAGATCTCAACAAACTAAAATATTGGACTGAATCTAGTAAGAAATTTAATATAGATAAATGTAAAGTCTTACATTTGGGTTAAAAATCAGCTTTTTATAAGCACAAGATTGGGGAGGCATAGCTAGGCTGCAATTTGCCTGAAAAAAGTCTGGCCATTTTTAGTGTGCTATGAACTCAGTATGAGTCAACATTGTGATGTGGCAGCCAAGAAGTGACCTTGACCTGCTACATTGAGAGGTATTGTGAAGAGGACCAGGGAGGTGATAGTCTTATAGTCTGCCCTAGTCAGATTGTATATAGAGTATTATGTTCAGTTCTGAGAACTGCGTTTTAGAAAGGACGCTGATAATAAATTGGACAGTCCAGAATGGTAAAGGGTTTCAAGAGAGGTGGTACAAGGAACGGAGAACTGGACCTGGGGTCCGGAAACCTCAGTTCAGATCTGGCCTCAGATGCTTAGCTAGCTACAGCTGTGTGACCCTGGGCAAGTAACTTAACAGCTCTCTCTGCCTCAGTCTCCCCATCTATAAAATGGGGATAATTATAACACCTGCTTCCCAGGGTTGTTATGAGAATAAAATGAGTTAAAATTTGTAAAATAATTCACAAACCTTAAAAGGCTGTATAAATGCCAGCAGTTTATATAGCTGCACATACTTGTGTGGATGAAGAACCTTCTCCAAACTTTGAAATGTGCCAGCTTGGACAGTAGTGAGTTCCCTGTTACTGGAAATGTTCAGTCAGAAGATCTGGGGATGTTTGGCCCAGAAAAAAAAAAGATTTGGAGAGGGAGGAATAAATATTGTTATAAAGTTTTTGAAGAGCTGTCCTTTGGGAGAGAGATCAGATTTCTGCTTGGCTCCCAAGGACTGCCTTAGGAGCAGTGGATGGAAATTGAGGCAAATTTAGGTTTGAGATGAGGAAAAATTTCCTAAAGATTGTAGCTATCCAGATGTGGAATGGGTTACTTCGGAAGTCTTCCAGCAAAGGCTGGATGACTTCTTGCTGGACATTTTGTAGGAGCATTCTTTTTCAGCTGTGGGTTGGACTAGATAGCTGGAGGTCCTTCATCCCACACTGAACCCCCATGGCTTTGTGACCAGAGAAGTGTCACAGCTAGGAGGGACATTGGAGTATAGAATGTCAGTACACAAAAACAGGGAATGTTTGAGCTCAATGAGAGCCTCACTGCCTACTTCCCAGGGCTGTTGTGAGGACCAGATAAAATGTGCTTCTTTGTAGCCCTGTGATGGAGAATACTGAATTCCCCCTCTTCCCTCCCAATTCTTACAGCCTTTCTCTCTTGACCAAGGGCCCACACCTGTCAGGGTTATGTGGAGAGTGACGTTGGCCTCCTCCTGAGCTAATGAGTCATGCAGATAGAATGACTGCCTGATGTGATGGAGTTGGGAATCTCTGTCGGGTTGGCTCTCACTCTTGTTCCTTTTTTTCCCTTCTTTCTTAAACAGAGACACTTGACTTCATTTCCCTATCGCTGTACCTTAGCTGACTTCCAGATAGAAAAGAAGATAGGCCGAGGACAGTTCAGTGAAGTTTACAAAGCAACTTGCCTCTTGGACAGGAAAACTGTTGCTCTGAAGAAAGTCCAGGTAAACATTTTTAGGATGGATGCTTCCTTCTCTTCCTCCTACCCACTATCTCGCCCCACTTCAGCCAAAAAAAAAAAAGTATTTCCCATTAATATTGTACTGGGCATATCTATGTGCATGAAGAACCTCCCAACTTTGATTATGTATTAACTTGTATAGTAGTGAGCTCCTGTCATTGGAATTGTTCAATCAGAGGCTTGATTACCATCTGTCAAAAGGAGGAGTTTCTCTATGGCCTTGGAGGTGGACAAGGTGATCTCTGAGGTCCAAACCTGAGACTCCATTATTCTCTAAATTTTCGTGCCCCAAGTGGTAATCCTTGGTAATTGGTAATTCTAGAAATTGTTGTCTTCTTCCCTGGGATCCTTTCCTTCATCGTTATAAAGGAAATTATTTAAATTCTCATTTTGAGTTCATCCTTCCTTCAAACCTGCCCCTTTGACATCTGCTTGCTCAGAATTGTGTCACCATCACTACTAAGGAAGAGATCTTCGAATGCAGATTGGTTACACAGAGAATGTAGAATATCACACCTGGATGAGATCTTAAAACATACTGTGTTAGCACATAGAGGGTCAAGTATAATCATAAATATGAGAAAATAAAACATACCTTCCTAGAGCAACTCCATTTAGCCCAGCACTTTGTCAACAAAGGAAAAGTTATGGGAATGTGAGATAGAATTAAAGATACTATATCTGAAAGGAACTCGAGAACATAGAATGTAAGAGCTGAAGGGAACCTTGGAACATAATATGTTACTTAGATCATAAGAGCTGGGAAAACTTAGAACATAGAAAGTTAGCTTAAAGAGCCCATAATGTTTGAACTAGAAGGAATGTTGGGCAGCCAGGTGGAGCTATAGTGCACAGAGCGCCAGGCCTGGAGGCAGGAAGACATCTTCCTGAGTTCAAATCTGCCTCAGACACTTACTAGGTATGTGATCCTGGGCAAGTCACTTAACCCTGTTTGCCTCAGTTTCCTCATCTGTAAAATGAGTTGGAGAAGGAAATGGCAAACCACTCTAGTATCTTTGCCAAGAAAACCTCAAATGGGGTCATGGAAAGTCAGACACAACTGAAAACAACTGAACAACAAAAGAAGGAATGTTAGGACTAGCATGTTTGCTGTAGAAGGGATGTTAGAGCAGTTTTAGTTCAAGATTTTTTTCTTTTTAATAAACAGCGGGCCAAAGAATTTAAGTGAAACAGAGCCATAGTAAATAGAGTGCTGAACATGGAGTCAGGAGAACCTGAGTTTAAATTCAGTCTCAGACACTTACTAGCTATTTGATCCTGGGCAAGTCACTTAAACTCTGTCTCAGTCTCCTAATCTATGAAATGGGGATAACAATAGCACCTACTTCCCAGGGTTGTTGTGAGGATAAAATGAGATAATACTTATAAAGTACTTTGCAAACCTTAAAATACTATATAAATGCTAGCTATCATCATCATCATTATTATTAATAAAATCATTTTCCATCATACTCCCCTTTAGAAAATGAAAATACTTCTCTGTGCGTTTCACAGACATACATAATGTGAGTCATGAGTGAGAAACAAACTCGCTGCACATATGGCATGTTTAAACATCATTTTGTTCAACTAAATGTCCCTTTAATCCTTCAACAGAGCTTCACCAATCCCCTGATTTGCTCCTACAGGGTTATGAAATGAATATTAATGCTTATTATTCTGCTAATTAAAAGCTCTTGTAGAAGCATGTGATGGAGTTGAAAGACCACTGGATTGGGAGTTAGGGGACAAGTCACTTCCCCTTCACTGGTGATGTCCATTAGGAAAAGGATGCTTGAGTAGAGGGGCAATCAGTAAGGGTGCCCAGGGCTCTCCCGGGCTATGCACGAACATTCAATAGTATGAGACCCATTTCAGCTCTAAATATTCTGTGGTCTAACATTCTGTGTTCTGAGATCCCTTCCAGATCTAAAATTCTGTGAACTAGACCTGGGGAAGAAAAGGTCATTTTGAATTAAATGGGCAAAAGAAAACATAGTCTGATGTTTTTTAAATGACACATCATGGGTGACTTTGGTGTTTTTGTTGTAAATTTGATGACAGATTTACCAATACCTACATATAAGGGGCAGCTAGGTGGCTCAGTGGATACGACGTCAGGCCTGAAGTCAGGAAGACTCATTTTTCTGAGTACAAATCTGGCTTCAGACACTAGCTGTGTGACCCTGGGCAAGTCACTTAATTCTTTTTCCCTCAGTTTCCTCATCTGTAAAATGAGCTGGAGAAGGAAATGGCAAAGCACTCCTGTATCTTAGCCAAGAAAACCCCAAATGGGGTCACGGAGAGTCAGACACAACTGAAAATGACTAAACTTCATTGACTGACATAGAACGTCTGGTCTTCTTATCGTTCTTGAGTATGATGAAATACATTTTGAGGGCTGGGTTGGAGGAATTCTGAACTTTTGTTGTTACCTATAAATAGCACAGATAACTCTGGAAAACAATTCTTGAAAGGCAGTCCAGGGTAGTTGAAATAGCCCTGGACTTGAGGTCAAAATAGCTGGGTTTGAGCCCTGGCCAGTTATAAGTCACTTATAAGCCATGTGGACTTGGGCAAGTACTCTGTTATACTGTATACTTTATTATACTTTACACTTTGTAAATGCAAGTTGCTACTGCTGTTATTATTATGAGAAAAAACAGTGAACTGGGAATCAAAAGATTCATCTGTTTTTCATGCATTTATTAAATGCCTCCTATGACAAATCCGAGTCACAGATCCATCTTAGTTTGTTGTTGTTCAGCCGTGTCCAATTCTTTGTGACCCCATGGACCATACTGTCCATACTTCTCCAGTAGATTATGGAAAACAAAGATTAGATGACTTGCCCAAGGTCACATAGCTAGTAAGTGTCTGAGGCTAGATTTGAACTCAGGTCTTCCTGACTCCAGCCCAGCACTCTATCCCCGATCCATCTAGCTGCCCTCACCTCAGTTTACTAATCTGTAAATCAGAAATAATATTCCTATCACTACCCACCTCACAGGGATGAAAGAACAGGAATGGACCCTAGACTTGTAATTTGTAGGTTGGTACCTTCTCTGCAATTTCTAATCTTGAAGAGTTGGCTAGAACAATGACTTGCCTGAGAGTGAGAGACAGCACTTAAACTTAATCAGGTCTTCCCAGCTTTGAAGCCCCCATCCACTGCAGCACATTGCCTCTCTCAGGATGAAAGGGCTTTGTGAATTGTGAAGGACTAACTACCTGTGATCTTTTCTTTCTACTGTTAGTCTCTCTGGTTTCTAAAATAGGTGTTTGTGTCTCTTTTAAAGATATTTGAAATGATGGACGCCAAAGCCAGACAAGACTGCATTAAAGAGATTGACCTCTTGAAGGTAAGACTTTTTATGCAAAGTGTTAGGATATTCTAATTTATCCCTGGAAATGTCCCTGAGCCTGTGCTCCTCCCATGTGAGCCTATGTCTGACATATTTGAGCTGACATTTATAATAGTACTCCATGAGTACAAAGCACATCCACATCCATGAATTAGCACATTTCCTCACAGTGGCCCTGTGTGGTATGTAATACAAATATTATCACCCCCATTGTATCAGTGGAAGAAACTTTTGCTCAGAGAAGGAAACTCATGCAGGGTCTCATTGTTATAAAAATAACAATCCTGTCAACTAGGGGATCAGGAAAATGGTGCAGGTGTTACCTGACTGGACCTTAGTGGAAAAAAAATCAATAATGGCAACAACAACTCAAATTTCATAGGATTGGAGACCTGGAGCCTTCTGGTCTACTCCCCCTCCTCCCCATACACACACACTCATTTTACAGAAAAGGAAACTGAAGCCCAGGGAAGTTAGGTGATTGTCTAAGGTTAGGTAGCATCACAGGTGGGATTTGAATCTAGTCCTCTCACGCCAAGGCCAGACGTTTTTCTACTGGGGTATACTGACCCCTTTTATGGAGCTTTGCAGCAACCCTCTGAGGTAAGTAGTGTAAGAAATGAAACTCAAACAGTGAAGTGACTTGTGTAGGGTCACATCATAAAAGTTGGTGGATAGAAGTGCCAGAAAAGTCAGGTTTGGGCTCAGTACCTGGAGGAAAATAAACAACAACCCACTTCTTAATAACCAGAGCTGTCCAAAAGTAGGATGAGCTGCTTTGCAAGGCAGCGAGCGCCCTGGTCTTCAAATTGAAGCAGGATTCCTGTTTGTCCGGCTGGTTGCAGTTGGGAGTCATGCTTAGACAAGGTTTAGACTACGTGCACTTTGTGGTTCCTTCCAGCTCTGAGGTCCCATGATTTTAAAAATTCTTTGACTCTTTCTTTGGCTCTATTAGGGTTGAGGTGTCATATAGTTCACATTGTGAGGCAGAAATAATCCCTCATTCCTTTATTTATCTCTAGAGCTGTTGGCGATCTGAGGATCCCATTCCCAAAATTCTTGGCTTTAGAACTGAAAAGGACCTTTGAAACCATCTGATCCAACTCTTCCATTTTATAGATGGAAAAACTGAAACCCAGAGAGATTGGGCAACTTACCTGAGGTCTCACAGCTAGTAATTAGCAGAATTTAGAATTCAAGCCCAAATCCTCTGACTCTGTATCCAGTCTTCACTCTGCTACCCTGTACTAACTATTTCAGTCTCTTCCCCAGTTAGAAACAAAAAATAACAATGTCAATGTAAAACCAAACCATCACTAGTCCTGGTCCAGTCTCCATCCCTGCCTTATACATATGGATTTATTTTCTTCCTCCTCTTGGTTCCTGCGTGCAATGTGACAGGTGCTCTGGCTCTGAAATATTCTTTCCCATAGAACATCAGAAATGTATGTTTGGCTCTGCTTGGGCCTGAGGGCAGGGTTTGGCTGCTTTTGGCTCTGAGCAGGGCTTTAGATGTATGATTGAGGTGCTCTCTCCCCATCTTATTTATTTATTTTCCATTGTGGCTGAACACAGATATTTGAATATTCAGTAGGATTTTGTTTTGTTTCGTTTTGTGATTTTTTATTTTGTGCCTCCCCCCCCACCCCCGCTTCCCATCTCTTGCTTCCTCAAGGAGCTGCATCTTGTTAATTGGCCAGAAGTTTGGCAAAGCTGGCCTGGATAACCTGAGGCCAGGAGGGACAGAAGAAACAGCGCGACAACAAGGAAAAGGGGGAAAAGGACCTGGCCTTGGGAGTCTGAAGACTGGGGGTTCTGTGGTGGATTCTATATGACACCCCCCATATCTCCCAATTCTTGTTCTACTTCTGGTCCTGGTTCTGAGCAAGCCACTGAGCCCCTGTTTTTCTCCTCCACAAATGGGTGGTGATGGTAATTCGACTATATGATCTCTAAGGTCCCTACCCATTCTAACATTCTGTGCTTCTCCCCCATGCTTTCCAAGATAGTGATAATAGTTTACCTTTGTATAGCATTTTTAGAGTATTTTTTACTCTATTTTTAGTATTCAGTTGAGGGCTTTCCTCACAACTCTTTGAGGTTGGTAGGTCATGCAATTATTATCATCTCCATTTTACAGAAGAGGAAACAGAGACCTGGAGAGGCTGTGACTTGCCTAGAGTCATACAGCTAGTAAATGTTAGTCCTGGAAGTTGAACCCAGCTCTTCTCATTCTGAGACTACCATGCTTTCTGTTATTTTACACACCCTGTCTCTTGGTGACAGCCATGTGTTAAAAGAATCACAAGGTCACGTTTTTGGAGCTGGAAGGCCCTCGGCTGCAGTTTAGTCCAGTCCCTTCATTTTATAGATAAAAGAACTGATGACTAAAGAGATTAAATTACTTGCGTGGTTACAGAGATAGCAAATCTCAGTAGATCTGAGATTTGAACCAAATTCCTCTGATTCCAAAATCCTTTCCACTATATCATGCTGGAAATGACCCATGATGATATTTTTTAAATCCTTGCACTCATTATTATTCATATGGAAATAAATAAAATGGTGCTCAATGCTCATATTTCTTTGCCACATTACAGTTTACAAAAGCTATAAGGTTATAAGCAAACCTATAAGGTCGGAAGGGCCAACATTATTTTTCCCATTTTATAGAAGAGGAAACTGAGGCTCAGAGAGGTTCAGTGATTTGGTTGGAGTCATACAGCTAGTAGGAGACAGAACTTGAACCCAGGTCTTATGACTTTGAGTTCCATGTTCTTTCCACTACTTCCTCCAAGCAGCCATGGCTCAGCCTAGGCTAAGAAGCCAGTTGGGTAAATCAGATTGTATTGCCAATTCACAGGGGATATCTTTGTTAATGCTGCCTATAGGGCATTTCTTTCAAATGTATGTCGGTCTTTCTGTGAATGACACGACAAAATATGACAGATCTTCCTGACGATGGAGAGAATTGGGCTGCTGAGGAGCTGAGCCAATCACAGAGAATGTAGGGAAGTTCTCAGTGTCAACTTGGGAAGCCCCTTTTTATTGTGCTGGTCAGCATTTCACATAACTGGATGCAGGGGTGAACCTGGACCCTGAGGAGCCGCAGGGCAGAGTTGTTCAAGGTCTTGTTGGGAGACAAGGGAGGAGATGCAGGGATCAGTTTCCATAGTTCTGTCAGCGTCAGCAGTAGGCTTTCACTTTCCTTGCTGCCGGGAAGCTAATAACTTGTCAAATCAATACCTGCAACTCATCTCTTTCCTTAATTGATAGCTCCCTTGCTGGTGGTAGTTACAGCTATGTCTAAATAACCCAAGGACATTGAAGGGATGTGTGGGGATGGTCTCAGGCCAAAGAAATGGCTTTTTTTGTAGGAGGAGCATCCTTTTTCATACAATAGATATGTTCCTGAAAAGTTTTATGTAAATTGAATCCTATCTTCCTACTGACCTAAAATTGTTATTCCTGAGATGCATTGCATTAATTTCTGATGTCTTGGAATTTTAGAACACAGCATATTAGAGCTGGAAGATCTATGGATGTTAGAAGTTAGAATGTAAAATGTCAGAGCTGGAAGACACCTTAAAGATCATGCAGTTTAACTCCTTCATTTTACAAATTAGGAAACCAAAGCAGCTGGAGTACAGTGGAAAAAGTCCCAGATTTGGAGTCAGAAGAACTGGGGCCTAGAAAGATGAAACATCTTATACAAAATCAGTTCCAGTTCCACACATTTTAATTCCATTTAAATTTAGTTGGACAAACATTTATTAAGTGACTGGAAGAGATAACAAGTTTTAGAATGAAATGGTACCTGCCTTCATGGAGCTTAAAATCTCATGGAGGGAGAAGAACATATACCTAGATCCTGGTTAAGCCAACAATAGATAGAAACAAAATGGCATAGGAGGAAGATTGTTGTCCTAGAAATCTAGTCTCTGTCATTAATTAGCTTTCTTTTTTTTTGTTTTGTTTTGTTTTATTTTGTTTTTTAGGCAATTGGGGTTAAGTGACTTGCCCAGGGTCACACAGCTAGTAAGTGTCAAGTGTTTGGTCTGAGGCCGCATCAATTAGCTTTCTTCCTTGGTCAGATATGGCACCTCTTTGGGCCTTAGGTTCCTCATCCATCCAATGAATGAGTTAGACTGGCTAGTCTATCTAAAAGCCCTTTCGGGTGGTAACTTTCTCTGGTCCTTGTAGTAGTGTGTGGAGGGTTGGGGGTGGAGGGGGGAGTGGGTAGGAGCAGACTAGTGGGAGATTGCTACCAAAGGAGTATGGAGTAGGGGGGCTCAAGAGTAGGGGGAGATAAGCTACTGACAAAACCTTCCTTGAGGAAGGTTTTTTCCTTCTTCAAACTCTCATGCGTCTCTCCATGTACTTGTCCCCCAGTCTCTGGCCTTTCTTGTCAAAGAGTTAATTTGATATATTTGGGGGGAAAAGCACTGGATTTATGTTGGAAGACTTAGACTAAGTAATGGAGGGCAAAAAAACAGAATCAGAACAGTAATATATATATATAGAGAGAGAGAGAGAGAGAGAGAGAGATACATATATACACACACGCTCATATACATATATACACTTATACATATATATGTATATATACATATATGCACACATACAAATGTGTATATATGTACATATGTCTGTATCTCCTTACAATGTCATAAAAACAATAACAGTAACATGGCCACAACAAAATTTAAAACACCAAAAAGAAACAGTTCAGAAGGGGATGGGGAGCAGATGAGATGTTTTGTTTATTAGCTTGTTAAAAGTTACTGCATATATTTTTGACAGACTATAAATCCTGGAGCTTTTAAAGCTTTATGTATGATAATTTTTATTCATATTTGTGTTTGGATGTTTGTGTTGATAGGTGCTAAGTTGAGAATAAATAAATAAAATTTACCTCAAAAAATTAGATTGGGACTTAAAAGACCCAGCTCTTCCACTAATTCATTCTGTGACTTCAGTCAAAAGTAAGCTTTTATTAAGCACTTACTATGTGCCACACTCTGTGCTGAGTTCTAGGGATACAAAGAAAAAGCAAAAGTATTCCCTGCCCTCAAGGAGCTTACATTTTAAACAAGAGAATCAGCATATAGGTAATGTGGGCATACACACAGAGTAGATATAAGGTAACCCTTAGAAGGGAAGACATTAGTATCTGGGGTGACCCAGAGAAGCCTCTTGCAGAACTTCAGCTAAGTCTTGAAGGAAGCGAGGGATTCTAGGAATGGGAGGTGAGAAGGAAGAGCATTCCAACATGGAGTATGTCAAGTACAAAAGCTTAGAACCATGGAGGGTTATGGGTGAGGAACAGCAAGTAACTTTATTTGGTTTAACTGACACCTAAGCTGAGCTTTGAAGGAAGCTGAAGATTTGAGAGACAGAGGTGAGGAGGGGATGTGTTCCACACCTTGGGAACATTCAGCAAAATCATTCAGGAAGAAGGTGGAATGTCAAGTTCAGGGCCTGCTTGGCTGAAACACAAGAGTACAACCAGCATGTGTGAAATCAGTCTGGAAAGGTAGTCTGGGGTCAGATTTTATAGGGCTTTGGATGCCACACTGCACAGGCATTAAGGAGCTGCTGAAAATTCTTGAGCAGGAGAAATGCATGGTAAGATCTGTGCCTTTAAAAGATGATTTTGGGTATTGTGTAGGAAGAATGGTTTGGAGAAGGGAGATCAGTTAGCAAGTGATGATGATGGTTCAGGTGATGGATAATGAGAGCCTGAACTAGGGTTATAAAGATGTCCAAACATTTTCCTGGACTACAGAGGTGTCTTTCAAGCAAATCTCCAAAGCTCTGTCTTCTGTTGATTCTGAAACCTCATCCCCTGGCACCCTGTGTCCTTCACCTTTTGCTGTTTTTCATTTTTTTCTTTGCAGCAACTGAACCACCCAAATATCATTAAATATTTGGACTCTTTCATTGAAGAGAGTGAGCTGAACATTGTCCTGGAGCTGGCTGATGCAGGTGACCTCTCACAGATGATTAAGGTAAGCTGCCTCTAAACTGAAGCAAGAGAGAGACAAATAGTTATAGTCCCCGTATTGAGTAGTAATGGCAGGGTGTACCACGGTGGAGGTTCAGGGGAGGAAGTTTCCCACAATGTGAGCTGAGGCTTCATGATTCAGGCAGCACAAAAAGACCAGAAATCTAGGTTGGTTTTGCTAAAATACACACAAAAAACCCATTTCCAGGGAAATGGGTACTCATCACAAGGGTCAGAAGCTAGAGGAGCCAGATTGGAATCAATTGTGAGTCAATATCAAAGAATCATCAAAAGTTGAGGAGCAGCAAAAGCCCAGTTCAGGGTTCTTCACCAGCTTTAGCTCACGTTGACTTTCAGAGTTTCTGACCATACTGCATATTTGTATTCATCTTCTGTTATTCAGCCTTGCTTTTTTGTTCTGTACATGACTTTAAAAAAAATCTATTCATTTGTGGATGTGTTTACTGAACTTGTACTTCTTTCTCTAGACAACTAACTAACTTACTTTTAGTTTCTTCCTAATCAGAATCTTTTCTGCCTGTGTTATCAAAATGTCCTTCTTGAGGACTTCTCCACCCTGTCTGGACAACTTCGTCTGAAGAATTTGAGGCTGTAGGATTCTACCTTGTCTTTTCTCTAAATTCTTTGAAATGGACTATTTCCGAATCTGGAGCATACACAGACATGCTTGACTTCCCTCTCTGTCATAAGATGTGGCAGTTACTTTTCCTTTAAAATTTCCCAGCATTCCTACTTCAGCAATTAGGTCCTTCTTGTTGACCAGGATCAAATCAAGCAGAAATTTTGGGTAGTAAGGAAAATGCCGGTAGAATAATGAGGCCAAAATGAGTCCCCACTTTGCCAGAGACAATGCCTTTTTCTCTTTGTTGAGAGTATGAGGCACTGGTCCAGTGGAAACCACATAAAACCATCCTTCAGGCACATGACTGTTTTTATTTCTCTGAGTTTGAGCCTGGCTTGCCTTCTGTCTTCCCCTGACCAGCTTCAACTGAACCTTCATCAGTGGGGTAGGGAGGGAAACAGCTGTTGCTACATAGTAGGAACTGGGTGTCTTGGCTGAGATGTTTGAAGAGTGCCTTACAGTCTCCCAAGTGCCCGTTTCCTGGAACCTCACTAACATTATAAATGTCTGGGCACGAGCACTTTAGATTAAAGAGGCTAATTGTCTTCTCCTTCACTCTGTTAAAGTACTCTTTTGTCATTAGCAGAGCTTGGTAGTTGCAGGGGAGCATTTTTTGTTTTATAGCATAAAAGGCGTGGGTGCTCAGGGATGCAGATGGTAGAGGCTGTAAATGACCACACAAGTGGCCCAGCTGTGGCCATGCCCCTGGGTTAACTGTCTCTTCAGCCTGGAAGCAGTTTGGCTGACACTATATAAACCAACACAGAGGCTTTTTCAGTGTTTCTGAGCTGATCTCCCCCTTTCCCTGTAATTCATAGCAGAATGAAGATTCTCATGTAAACCTAGAGGAGAGGTTCTTAGTTTGTTTTTCAGAAATATTTTGATGATTGTATTTCAATATAATTCGTTTCCTTTGTACTTCTATGTATCATGTTTTATGCATTTAAAAAATTATTCTGAAAAGGGATTAGTAGGATTCACCAGACTGTCATGGTTGTCTATGACATGTCAAAAAGCTTAACCTGAGAAAAGGTCTCAGAACAGAGCCCTGGGGAATAGGGGACAAGAAATGGTTGATGGTCAATCAAAGAAGTCTGAGAAGTTATAGCCAGACAGGTGGGAGGAGAACCAAGAAAATGCAATGTCACAAAAATTTGGAGAAAAAAGAGTATCCAAGAAGAGAAGGTGGTCGGTGGTGTCACGCTCCAGAGAGAGCAAGAAAAATGAAAATTGAGGAAAAGATCATCAGATCTGATTAAAAGATCATTGAAAATTTTGAAGAGAGGAATTTCAGTTGAGTTGATGAGGTCAGAAGCAAATTTAAAGGGCCTGGAGTCAGGAAGACTCATCTTCTTGAGTTCAAAATTAGCCTCAGGCCCTTACTAACTCTGTGACCCTGGGCAAGTGACTTAACCCTGTTTGCCTCAGTTTCCTCATTTTTAAAATGAGTTGGAGAAGGAAATGGCAAACCACTCCAATGTCTTTGCCAAGAAAACCCCAAATGGGGTCACAAAGAGTTGGACACAACTGAAAAATGACTGAACAACAACAAAAGGGTTGAAAAGTGAATGAGAGGAGAGGAAATGGAGGCAGCAAATATAGAGGCTTTTCTAAGAGTTTACTTGTGAAAGAGGAGAGATAGAGGATGATCACTCAAGGGGATGGAAGAGTCAAATGAGGATTTTTTATTAAAAGATGAGGTTGGGGGGAGAGACCTAGGGATGTTTTTAGGTAGTAATGAAGGAACCAAATACAAAGAGAGATATTGAAGATTGGACAAGAGAGAGAACCTGCCAGAAGAGACTGGAAGGGGATAGGATCAGGGGTACAAGTAGAAGAGTTGGCCTCATTAAAATGGATCATCTTTTCATCAGAAACTAGAATGGAAGAGGAGAAAATAGAGGATGATGTCAAGAGTTGTGATCTAGAGTAGGTGAAAGCAGGGAACTCATGTTGAATGATTCTCTTCTCAGTAAAATATGAGAGGTGAGGAGGAAAGGGCAGAAGGTGGTGAAGGAGGTTTAAGGAGAGAAGGAAAGGTTTGGAACAACCATTGTGGGCAGTGTGATATGATAGGAAGTCAGTTAGTAAAGAATGAAAGGATTGCCTTGCTTCAGTGAAGGCCCTGTTGAGATAAGGTAACATAACTTTGTAGGGATCCAGTCAGCAGAGTTGGTGACTTCCCCTAACACCATTCAACAACCTGTGAGTAAGATCAGTAGAGGTGACTGTTGGGAAATATCTAGGGCTAGGGTTGACAAGGTATGAGCAGTGGTAGGGCAAGGGGAAGGAATTTGAGAGGAGAGGGTGATGTGACATTGAACTGGTTAGCTGTAATGTCAAGAGTAAGAGAGGAAGCAAATGAAGCCAGAGTAGGGATGATGGCCTGGGAGAGTTCTGAGGGGTGGAATGACTACAGGTCACAGTGAGAATGAAGAAGAATTTTAGGAGGAGTGAGACATAGGAGAAGAAATGGAATGAAAGGGGGTTGTGGTCATAGGAATTTTAGAATTCTGAGTCATGGAAGTAGAACACTTATCCCCTTAGTCGTGGTATAGGGTCAGGGTGGGGAGTGGGGGGGAGGGTTGGCGGGAGATTGCTGCCTCTGCCTTGGGCTTAGAGTGGCTTCTTATGCTGGGGGCTCCCAGCTTTGGGTAAATCATGTTATAATTATCAGGATATAGAGTTTTCATTAAGGGCTGAGAAGCTCTTTACCATACAGAGACCTTGACATAGATGGTTTCCTCAATACTTTAGACCCCAGGTGCTTTCTACAATAGTTCCCACATTGGAAGAGTGGGCTCTGAATTATTCTTATCATTCTGGCCTGCTTGTTTATATGAAGCAAAACAGGGAGGTGAATGTTCATCGCTTTTAGAGAGGGTTTCTTAACACAAACAGCCTAAATGGAGGAAGGGTTCTCATATATATGGTGAGGTCTTTCAGATCAGTGTTGTCAAGCTCAAAAAGAAATGGATCCCTGCAGGCTTCACATTGACTTAGAAAACCTTAAATTAACATTATCTCTGTTGTATTGTATTGTGTTTATTGTGTTAAACATTTCCCAATTACATTTTAATCTAGATCCCCCCCACACATACACACTAGGAATTTTTGTGGACCAGATGCTTCTCATTTGCTGATGATACTGTGCTGATTACATCAAACCCAGAATATTATAGGGACTCCTCAATAAGATCAAATATTATGCAAAAGAGATCAACCTAATAATGCATACAAAATAAACTAGATGAATGATGAATGCCGGTTGTCCAGACTATATGCTGCTAGATAAATAGTGCATTGAGTTAGTATATGAGTACACATATCTGTGATCTGGAATAGAGAGTGAGAATGAACAATGAGTTGGCCCCCAAATTGACTATGAGGAAGGAGAGCTGGCTGCATTGTATTTGGGAAGTTGTTCAATGCTTTCAGTGATTGCACAGCATTCCCTAGTGCCAAGATCTATTTTTTTTAAAAATAAATTTTGGTGTGTTATTATTAATATATCACGTTTCCCACTGAATTCTTCCTCCTTCCCCTTTCAGAAGGCTAACTGTTATAGCAAAAGAATAAAAAATAGAAAATGAACACAATTTAGCAAAACTAACCAACATATTGATAAAGCCTGATATTACCTTCAGTTTTCATGCCTTAGTTCCCCCCTCCTTCCCCTTTCCAGAAAAGCAGGGGGAGGTACCTACTCATCTATTTTCTTTTGGGCAAAACTTGGTCATTACAGTTTCACAGTATTCAATTTTGAATGTTTTGTTGTTCTTTCCATTTACAAAGTTTTAATCATTGTTTATAGTATTTCCTTGCTTCTGCTTACTTTGCTTTGCATCAGTTCATATAAGTCTTTCTATGCCTTTCTGTAGTCATATTTATCATTTTTATTGCAGAGTAACATTATATTACAATCTCATATCAGAATTTGTTTAGCCATTCCACAGTCAAAGTCCACACAAAAATTTTTCCCTAGTTGACCATTTCTCTTCTATCCTAGCTGAGTTAATTTTATTCATGCAAAAGCTTTTCGATTTCATGTAATTAAAATTATCTATTTTATCTTTTGCAATAGCTCCTATCCCTTTTTTTGGTTAAGAATTCACCCCAAATATTGCATCTATTTCTTTTCTGAATTTTAAAGGTATGATCTTTAATATTCAGGTCATATAACCCTTTCAAATTTATATTTGTATATAACATAAGGTATTGATCTAAACCTAATTTCTGCCAAAAATCTTTTCCAGTTTTCCTGGGAATGTTTTTCAAATCTGGAGTTTTTCTCCAAGTAATTTATGTTAGCCTGTTTTAATAGTCACCTTTAGATACCTATCTTTGTTTTTTTGGTCTTT